CCCGTGCCCCCGGGGGCGATGGCCTGCCTGGCGCGCGGCCGCTCCGAGCTCCCGGGAGAGTCACGGGCAGAGCCCCGGGGGCTCCGGCCTGGGGCCTCGCACAGGTGTCTGCTAAATGCTACCCTGCCCGCTGATCTTGACACCCCTCTCCGGGCCTCAGTTTCCCCGTCTGCAGGACCAGGTTTGGGCACAGTGCTAGCAGAGGCGCCCGGGCTCCCAGGAGTGGGCAGAGGGGGGCTGTCCAGGAGCCCAGCCCTGCCTCGGATTTTTCCACTCACCAAACCAACCTTTGTTGGGAGCCGGGGCTGGATGGCGTCTGGGGTGGGGGGGCAGATCTGGCCTCTGCCAGTTGAAGGAGACGCAGGGTGAAGCAAAAATAAAAAAGGCCTGAGATGGAGAAAGCCTTTATCCGCCACAGGGCACTGAACCAATCCCACGCATGTGCCCATTTTGCAGACGAAAACTGAGGCACGGAATCCAAACAACAGATGCGGATCCCCAAACCACTGTGTTCTGTGAGGACCAGGGCTCTGGGCGGCCCTAGCACAGATCAGCCCGGCCTAGTCTGTTCTCCGCAGCCGCCCTGTGGGTCGTGGGCGTGCGGGATCCTGGCCGCTCTCACTCTTCAGTGCAGGACCACGGAGGCTCCGGGGTCCCATCGAGGCAGGACCCCCCCACACCCTGTGTGTCTGAACCCTGAGCTTGAGTTGGCCATGCCTGGCCGAGTGGTCTGCGAAATCCCATATGGTAGAAGTCAGCCTGGGCTAGCCCCTGAACCAGCCGGTCTCGCTTGGTCACTCCAGTTGGGCCCGGACAGAAATTCAAGTCGGAAATAACTTTCCCTAGAATTTAAAAGGCATTTAAAGAAAACTTTCCTTCTGACTTCCATAGCTGGTGTTGAGCAATTTGATTCCATTCTGAAGCTACAGTTTCTTTTCCTTTGTCCTTCCGGAGCTCCCCCTCCTTCCTTCTGTGGGTCAGTACTGGGGCTTGAACTCAGAGCCTTGACACTTGATTATTTTGAGCTACACTTGCACTTCTGGCTTTCTGGTGGTTAGCTGGAGATGAGAGTCTTATGAACTTTCCTGCCCAAGCCGGCATCAAATTTCAATCCTCAGATCCCAGTCTCCTGAGTAGCTAGGCCTGCAGGTCGGAGCCTCCAGGGTTCTTAAAGACTCTTCTCTCTGTTCTTAGTGAGGGACAGCACATCAAGGTGCGTCTTGGTAGCCCTGCTGTTTGTCACTGTGCTGGACGCTGACCAGATCTTTCAGCCTGGGAACTTGTTTGCTTGGTTTCTTAGAGGATTGTTTTATATGTTCTCTTGTTTCTTCCTTTCTCTTGTTTCTTACCATGTTAAGGTTGGTTTGGGCCTCTGAGGATCTTTATTTATTAGGGAAGATGGGGAATCAGTTGTGAGGCGTGATCTCGGGGCTTGGGTACTGTCCCTGAGCTCTTTTGCTCAAGGCTTGTGCTCTACCACTTTGAACCACAGCTTCACTTCTAGTTTTCTGGTGGTTCATTGGAGATAAGAGTCTCATGGACTTTCCTGCCTGGGCTGGCTTTGAACACTGATCCTCAGATCCCAGCCTCTTGAGTAGCTAGGATGACAGGTGTGAGCCACTTGGACCTGGCTCTGAGGGTTGTATTTTCTTTCCAGTATTCCATCTGTTTTCTTTGTTGTTGATACTACTATCTGGAAGACTTTCTCAACTTTATACTTGTGTTTTTTGTTTTTTATTTTATTTTAAATAACAGTGTTCAATTGTGTTCAAGAGTTCTTGCTCCGGAATCCTGTCTGGTTATAACTGCCCTGCTGTTCTTGCTTTGTGAATAGAGTATCTTATCTGGCTAAGGACGTGATAATTGTTGATCACTTGTTTTACATCTTCCCTGTGTCGTGTCTGCTTGCTCGCCTGCCTTTTCCTTTGCTTTGCTTTGCGTTTTGCTTTTTTATGTTAGAATCTGTCCTTGTGTGACTGACTGGTGATTCCTGACCCCGCTTGAAAGTGGGGCACATTGCAGGGCAGCTTCTCAGGAAAGTGATCCTGGCCATCTTGAAGAACACATTTCAGACCCCCAGATGGCCGCGGAGGCCAGAGAGGCAGGCCGGGGTGGCCGCTGGCCGGGCCAGTTGTCCGGCGGACTCCCGGGGGGACGCGGGCTGCTGGGCTTCAGGTCCCGTGTCTCCCTTTGTGCTTCAGAAGGACAATGCGCAACGGCTGCTCAAGGACTTGGAGCCGGACGTGCCGAGCCCGCTGGAAGCGAGCACCCCACCCAGGAGACGCAGGAGAGAGGCGCCCTCGCTGAGGACGGAGGGGGCTCTGGTAAGCCTGTGTCTGTGTGCCTTTGGGGCGTTTGTCAGGCGTCCCACTGGTGACCCGCGTGTTGTGTCTCCAGACCAACACGTTTGTTTCCCCCATAGGCCTGCCAGGCGTTGTTCACACGCAAGCAAATGTACATGTGTTCAGCTTTAGGCTGGTGAGGTGCACACATCCTGGTGAGCAGCACCCGTCGGAGGTGACCCCAGGTCCGGGCATTGTCCTGGGCTGGTTTTGCACACGGGATCCTGTGCCTGCAAGAGCTATGCGGGGAGCTTCTGCCGTTGCCCATCTGTGGGGCTGTTCATCACCGGCTCTCTGCGGTGCAGATGCACTGTGTGATCGCTACCGTGTGATCACTTACTGCGTGATGGCTCACCGCATGATCGTGTGGAAACCCAGGTGGCCATTGGCTGACCAAGGGTGAGGGAGATGCAGCACATCCACACAAAGGAATATTCCTTGGGCGTAAAAAGAAACAAAGCTAATACACACTGATTATATGCGGATCCTCGGCACTGCTGTTTGAGTTCTGTATAGATGGGTAGTTATGCTAAGTGATGAGTTCCGTCTGGATGAGTAGTTATGCTAAGTGATGAATTCTGTGTGGATGAGTACTTATGCTACGTGATGAACTCTGTAGGGATGGGCGGGGAACCTTATATTACAGGGAATGTTTTGTGGAGTGTTTCACGGGAAGCATTCCAAACTGGAAAGTTTATATGGACAGAAAACAGATTCATGGTTGGTGGTCAGGGGTTGGGGTGGGAAAAGAGAAGGCAGGGTGATTTCTGAAGGGTTTCTTTCCCTCTCTTTGCCATAATAAGAGTTTTAACTCCGGGCCTTGTAGTAGGTGGCCGCCTCTCTATCACTTGAGCCACACCCCAGTCCTTTTCTCTTTAGTTATTTTTGGGGGCAGGTCTTGTGTTTTTTGGCCTCAGACTCGAATCTTCCTACCTGTGGTCTCCTGAGCAGCTTGGATGGCAGGCAGGCGTCACCACACCCAGCTTAGTTGCTGAGGTGGGAATCTCACTAACCTTTCCTTCTGACTGGCTTTAAATTAAGATTCCCCCATCTCATCCTCCAAGGAGCTGAGATTACAGGCATGAGCTAGCACGGCTGGCACAGGGGTTTCTCTTGAATACAACAAAAACGTGTAAAATCCACCCATACCTGTGAAGGGATTAGAAAGTGGTGTCCAGCCCCAGGCACTGCTATAGGAATTCTGTCCCAACAGAAGTAGTTGGAAGAAAAACAGGAATGCAGTGGCACAGGCCGGGAAGATAGCTTCAGCTGGGAGGGGAAGAACCCTGGCCTTGGCGTCCAGCATCAAAGCCAGGCCTGCTCACGCGCGTGTGCTGTCACAGCTCCTTGTTTTGTGAGCTGTGGTCATGGCTTCCTTCAGTGTCACCAAGTTGTGTCCCTCCCGGGGGGGGGGGTCCTCCCATTCCCAAAGTCCCGAAGACTCTGCCAGCAGCGGCTGACTCCCAACCCCGGGGTTAGCCCAATTCTCAGCTCACCCCGAGTCTCTCCTTGCCTGGTAATGTTTCACCTGCGGGCTGTTTCACTCCATTGAGCAAATGCCTGTGCACAAGCTAATGATTGGCCAGAGGTTGAGGAGCTGCCTGTGTGGGGCTGGCCCCCACCTTCTGCAGATGCCCTGTGCTCCCCACTGTTTGGGGGGTGAGTCCAGCCATGACCCACCCGTCCTCCGGCATGGAAGAGGAGCCCTGGGCTGAGCCCCCGAGGCTTGACTGGCTTGGCTGAGCTCTGCTTGAGGAATATGCTTCTGTGGCAAAAACCCACAGGAAGTCCTGAGAGCTCTGAGGGCTGTGGTCAGGGACTCCAGTCTACAGACCTGCCGGGGTGGGGTTCTGAACCCCAGGGAGGCCTTCCTGTCTGAGACACCCCTAGACACACACACACTCTTACACATCACTGGTCTTCTGAAGACTGGCGTTGCTTCGGCTGAGGCTTTACCTTGTAAATCCACCCTGTGGCCAGTTTTCTGAATAGCTGTGTTGCCCGGGAAGGCAGCGGGGGGGGGGGGAGATGGGGGGGTAGCAGGATGGGACAGGGAAGGATGGCGGTGGTCAGTGGGTCTTGCCAGACAGTGACAGATGTCACTGCCCCCTGCGGTCCTTCTTCATCTCCAGCCTCAGGCCTGTGGCCTGCAAGAGGTCAGGGTGGAAGGGAGACGCGCCCACGGGTGGTGCCCCGCCCAGGCAGGGCAGTCCAGCCCCCCCTCCCAGGTTCTGTCTCCCCAGTGCTGTCTCCACAGGTCTAAGAGGCTGCACTCACCTTGTCTTAGACTTCCCACAAGGTTGCTTTGCTTCCTTTGCTTCCTGTGGGCCTCTAAACCATAGTGGTTTCATTCCCAAGTGCCCTCATTTTGACTGACAGGTGGTGCAGCCAATCCTGAAGCGGCCTCCTTCAGTCTTCCTGCTGCTCTTCATCTAGGTCCCTTTGAATCTGAAACACTTCAGGTCGAGCGTGGGGGAGGGAGCTGTGGGTAGAGGGGGAGGGGAGAAGGTGTGTAGGGTGCCCTCAGGTCCCAGGGAAGCCCAGAAGGGGTGAAGATGAGCCATAGAGGAAGCTGCAAGTTGGAACCACTCTCTTCTTCACTGAAAGGTGCTGTCTCTGAGCCTCAGTTTCCCCTCTGTGAAATGGGCATGCTCCTGATGAGCACTCCCGGAGAATGAGATCCCATAGGCAAATCCGAGGGCCGAGGCACCCTTGGGGTGTGGGAGGGGAGCCACCCTGCCGTGGACCAGGCCTGGGAGGTTGGGTTAGTGGCACTGGGGACTCGGTGGTGATGAGATCCCTCCGTGTCTGCCTTGCGTGAGACACAGCAAAGCGACACCCCAGCTTCCCTCCTGAGCACCCCCTTCCCTCTGCCGTGCATGGCTCTTATTCTGGTTCTTATTCACTATTGTCATGAAGCAGCCATTCTGGTGTCAACTTCGGCAGACAAACCTGCAGCCAGAAAATCTCAAGTTCAAGGCCCAGTTCTGCTTTGACTAGTGGTGTGGCCTCAGGTGCCCAGCTTGGCCTGTCTGGGAAGCAGAGGTTATCTTCCTGTGGTCAGGTCCTTGGAAGCTCAGCCCACTGCTGGTCTTCCCGCATTCTTGTCATCTAAGACTGGTTTTGTGGTAGAGAGCAGACAAGAACTCATGGTTCCTATTCATGCATTTATTCATCCATTCCTCCATCCCTCCATCCATCCGTCCATCTGTCCATCCATCTGTCCGTCCATCCATCCATCTCTCCATCCATCTGGACACCTATTCATCTATCAATCTAGCTATTCACTTACTCGTCCATCTGTGTATCTATCCATCTGTCCACCCATTTATCCATCCAGGTATCAGGGTCAATAGGAATGGAGATTAGACTAAAAGATGACTCAACAACAGCACAGATTTATCCAGAGAGAACCTGGGGAGGGGAGGGGCGCCTCCAGCCAAAGCTGTTGGCTCAGGGCTAGGGTACTATCGTGGGTAGAGTTGTCTAGTGGAAGGTTTTAGAGTTGTCTAGTGGAGGGTTTTACGAAAGTAAATAATAGTGAGGCAGATAGCGTATGAAACGCATCACACGCGGAGAAAGGTAGAGAGGAGGGTGGGAGTGTCTGTTCAAAGCTCTGCTCTGTTCAAAAGGCAGCCGTAAGCCCTGCTGGCCTGCACCAGCCACGGTTTACACCAGAGAGAGCAAGGCAGGTGTGTTCAGAAAGCCAGGCATCAGTCTGGGGCCTCAAGATAAGGACCCCTGGCTATCTGGACCTGACACCATCCACCCATTTGTTTCTACCTATTCAGGCACTTGATTCACCTCTGAATCTGTCCATCCATCTGTCCATCCCTTCAGCCAGGCTCTAATGAGCCTATCACAGCCCCTTCCTGCAGCCGCTCTTCTCCCATTGAAATCTACCCTTTTCTCTGTCCCCTGCAGGAGCAGGAGCTGCCTTTCAACAGCAATATCACCGAGTTTGCGCTGAGGGCCAGAGTGGTGTACCCCATCAATCAGAAGTTCCGGGTGAGAGTTTTCAGTGTATCTTAGAGCTATGGTGAATTGGGCAGCGTGTTAGAGATTCACGTGGGAGTGGGAGGATGTGGGGGGATCTGATGTGCCATTTGGAGGCCATTTGAGCATTCTGTGTCAGACCATTTTCTCAGGGGTTACCTCGGGGGTGTGGGATGGAGCAGACTGGGAAAGCCACTCTGTTCTGTGCTGTTGGGGCAGATCTGACTCATGACAGAGCACAAACTAAGAAAGAAGTAGGCCTTTGGGAGGCGGGTGGCTCATGCCCATAATCCTAGCTACTCAATAGGCTGAAGATCACGGTTCAAAGCCAGCCTGGGCAGGAATTGTAGCCTATGAGATGCTTATCTCCAATTAACCATCAAAAAGCTGGAAGTAGATCTGTGGTGCACGTGGTAGAGCACTAACTATGAACAAAAAAGCTCAAGGACAGTGCCCATGCCCTAAGTTCAAGCCCCAGGACCAGCACAAAAAGAGCCAGATGCCGGGGCTCACACTTGTAATCCTGGCTGCTCAGGAGGCTGAGATCTATGGATTGCAGTTCAAAGCCAGCCTGGGCAGGAAAATCCGTGACACTCTTACCTCCAATTAACTACCAGAAAACTGGAGGTAGTGCTGTGGCTCAAGTGGTAGAGCACTAGCCTTGAGCTGAAGAGCTGAGGGACAGCACCCAGGTCCAGAGTTCAAGCCCCACGACTGACAAAAAGAAAAAGAAAAGGAAAAAGGAAGGAGGTGGGGAGACTAGACTAGGCTAGACAGGGGCGGCACTGATGCTGGGGTTCTCCCTGCAGGGTGCAACTCCCCGTGCTCCACCCCCATGTGGGCGGAGCTCCTTGTAGGTGCTAGGACCAGTGGGATGTATGGAGGGCTGCCTGGAGGGGGAGGCACAGGGGCTAGCCTCCCGGGGGCAAGTACAGGGACTAAGGAGCGGACTCAGCCCCAGGACTTGGGCGTGGCCATGGTCTTGGGGCAGCGGCTCGCGCCCTCAGCCCGTCTGCAGGCTGTCAGCGCGCTGTGGTAGAATCACCAGGATGCTGGGCAAGGCGTCCCCGCCCTGAGCCCTGACTGTGCCGTCTGGGCCCCAGCCTCTGGCCGACGGCTCCTCCAAGCCGTCCCTGCACCAGACCCTGAAGCAGGCGGCGTTACCGCACCAGCCCGTGGAGGCCTCCCCGGCCAGCAGCCTGGGCAGCCTGAGCCAGGCGGAGAAGGGTGACGGCAGCTCCTCGTCTCTGCACTCGGTCGCCAGCGATGACAGGGTGCTCAGCCGCGCCCTGCTCCGCGTGGGCAGCTTCCCTGAGGTGCTGGCCAGCGAGAGGTGAGGCGCGCCACCGGGAGGGCGGGGCTCCCAAGCTCAGAGCTACCGGAACAGAGAAGTTAAGTGACCCAGGAGCAGACACACGGCAGCCCAGCATCAGAGCTGGAGCAGCAAGCCTTTGGTTGCTCACTGAGCGTTGCTGATCACCCTTGACGTTACAGAGTCAGACCAGAGCCCTGAGGAGAGGCGAGCAGGGGCCTCGTGCAACCACTGCCAGGCCCGTGCGCAGGGTCACAGCACTGTGCAGGTGCTGGTGGCAGCGTACTGGGAAGACTCCTCAGTGCTGTGCTGGGTTACTTCCCAAAGCCGGGAGATCCACTGTGCCCCCGGCGCCCAGCAGGGGGAGCCTGGCCAGTTCGGTGATCAACAAATGCTGATGAGTGAATGAATGAATGCCTGCGGCTATCAGCCTCCTTGAGAGGCAGATTCTGCTGTCTCTCCCGTTTCACCAACAAGAAATGGAGACCCAGAGTGGCTGAGTGACTTTCCCACGCTCACGCAGCCAGTGAGCGATGGAGCCACCTAACACCACCAAAACCAGATTTTCCCAATAACCAGATTCCCATCCGGAGCACCGCTGAGCCCACAGCAGCGCTGGAGAGAGGGCCTGGCCCCGGCGGCCCCACAGTCCAGGAGGCCAAGGGGCGCTTGACCCAGGGGCTCCGGAGTGGGGAAGGGCCAGGCCTTAAGCCTTGGGCTTGGCAGCCTGAAGGCCAATCCCTGTCTGGGTGGGGCTGGGCTGGCCCTGGTTTTCAGTCCGGTCGCTGGTCAAGGAAGCAGAGGTTGCTAGGGCATCACCCAGGAAAGACAGGCCCATGGGGCGCGGGGGAAGGGCAGGCTCTCCCCCTCCCTGTCTGATGCGTTCCATCTTCACCCCCCCCTGCTGTGTCCCCCACTCACGGCGGGTCCCCGGCATCTCTCTGGTCCCTGGTGGGTATGGGCAACGGGGCAGTGGACACGTAGAAAGCCCACGTGGGGCCTGAGCGGGGCGGCCGTGTTCTGATGTCTCCTGCTTGCTTCTCTGCACGGTGCAGCGCGGACACGGACCTGTGTGTCCACAGCCTTCACTTACAGGACTTGATGCGTGTGGACGCGGCGCTGAGGCGGGAGAAGCACGCGGTAGGTGGGGAGCATCGCTTTCTGGCCCTGGGGACCCTGAGATGCCTGGACACAGGCCTGGGTGACGGCGGGGGGGAGGGAGGGGCAGATGCGGGGGGGCAGGGGGCTGTGGGGGAGCGTGGAGGGAGCATGGGGGAGTCCAAGCATGCTGGAAAGGCGGCTCTGCCCGCGGCGCTCAGGCCGCGGGTCCTGAGGGAGACCAAGTGCAGCCTGAATCCTCTTCGGAGGATTGGCGGCTGGCCTGATGATTATGCCCACTGCTTTTATTGAGTGCCTACTAAGTGCTAGGGTGTGTGTGTGTGTGTGTGTGTGTGTTGATTCTGGGACTTGGACTCTGGGCGTCACACTCCCTTGGCTTTTTCGCCCAAGGCTGTCACTCTACTACTTGAGCCATAGCTCCACTTCTGGCTTTTTGCTAATTAATCAGAGATAAGAATTGTCTGGACTCTTCTGCCTAGGCTAGATTCGAACCTCAATCTCAGCCTCCTGAGTAGCTACGATTTTAGGCGTGATCCACCAGTGCCCAGCTGCTGGGGATAGGCAGTGGACGGTTACAGTTAGTCTTCACCATGATTACCCCTACTTTATGGAGGAGAAGCCGATGCCCCAAGCTTCATCCCCTGAGAAGACTAAGAGTGAGCGAGCAGTCTGCTCCCCCTCGTGCACAGTCTGTGACAGTCAGAGAGGAGTAGGGACAGGAGACTGAGGGAAGGAGAGTGACACAGACAGGCAGGCAGACAGATGGACAGAAGGACAGCGGACACCTTGGTGATAAACTGCTGGAGAGGTAGACCTGGGGTCGCCCGACTAAGTTCGGCTCAGAACAAGCGCTGCGCTAGATGCCATCGCTCATGCTGGGATCTGAGACACAGATCTGAGACGCTTCCTCTACCAGCCCCGGCCCCAGAGCCACCACACAGCTGCTGTCCCGGGGCAGGGTGGGGCTGTTCTCCCAGAGCCCTGTGCTCCCCCAGGGCGGGGGAGGGACCCCAGCCTCCATTCTCAGGTTCTCCCTGCTGATGAGCAGAGTGATCCTGGCTGACTCGGCAGAGCAGCCTTTCCTTAGTTCATTTTCCAGGTAGGGTGTTTCACTCATGCCCAGGATGATATAGAATCAAGATCCTTCCAACTCTCCCGTTCAGCTGGGAATACAGGTATATACCACCACACCTAGCCTGTATGAAGCTTGCCTAGCAAGTACAAGGCCTTGAGTTCAAAACCCTAATATAAAAAGAAAGAGTGAGAGAGAGAAAGAGAGGAAGGAAGGAAGGAAATGCAATACATGGTAGTCCACTATCATGATACATGACGTGAGGTCTTTTCTTGTAGCAAAAAGCATTTGGGGGGTGGGGTGGAGGGAAAAGAGAGGGAGAGACCGTTGGTTACACCTTTCTTTGTTAACTTCCCTTCTGAAAATAGATGTTTATCCAGATTTTAAAAATGTGCCTCGTAGACCTCCTTCCTAAGAAGAAGTTTGATGACGAACTGTGCCAGACGATTCTTTCAAAGCAAGAACGTGTGAGTGCGTAACCTCCCAAGGCAACTTGGAAACAGTTTAATGCAAAAAAGTACTATGTGGCAGCATTTATATTACAATGAGGTGTAGAAGTATACGTATAAGTGAGTGTAAGAAGAAAATCTGAAGGAAAAAACACAGGCTACCAGGACTCACAGCTACCACATAGTCACAACCCAAGGGTGTTACTCAGTGCAAGGAGCAAGGCTATTTGAAAGGTAAAATGTGTTCAGTGATTGTCACTCACCATCTGTATTACTTGGACTTGACTCTTTCCAGTGTGGAAAGAACTAGAAAACTGCTCTGGAGAGAACCGCTTCCCTCTCTCCCTGTTGGTGTTTGGAGAAGCCTCTCATAGACCCCAGGTTCCTTCCTGAGTTCCAGACGAGTCCATTGATAGAGTGAAAGAGACAGATGTAGCAATGCCGCTCCGTTACGGCTGAGGTCATCTTGAAGGATGTGGCCTAGAGGTGCAGTGGTCACCAATAGCTTTCTTTTTTGTGTTTTCTGTTGTTGTTCAAGGCTAGCGCTCTACCCCTTGAGCCACACCTCCACTTCCGGCTGGTTAACTGAAGATAAGAGTCTCTTAAAATTCCCTATCCCAGCCAGCTTCAAACCACAGTCCTCAGATTTCAGCCCCGAGAAGTTAGGATTACGCACGGGAGCCCCCAGCCCCCAGCACCGTTGGCTTTCCAGTACTGAATGTCGGCATTGGCCCAATTCCCTGTGTGGACACCAGCCAGGCTTCCCACATGGAACAGGGCCTTTGCTGCCCACCCCGCTCTGAGACCACAACAGAGCAATGGCCTTCCGAGATGGCTGCATCCAGAGATGAAGGGGCGGGGAAACTCTCACCGCACCCACTTCCTGTGCTTGAGCCCACCAATCAAATACATTCTTCCCTCCCTGGTGTGTAGTGTGTACTGTTTCCCTATAGAAACGAGATGAGTAGGGAAGAAACTTGCTCCCAAGCCCACCCCTCACGTGATGATATTTTCCAGGTCTTTATAAGGGTTGAAATACAGGATTTGGTTTTTCTGTGTTTTTCGTCTGTTTGTCTGGTTGGTTGGTTTTGGGTTTGTTTGGGTTTTTTTTGTTTTGTTTTGCCAGTATTGAGGCTTGAACTTAAGAGTTTCCCTCTATGCTTTAACCTTTTTCTCAAGGCTGGAGACCTTACCACTTAAGCCACAGCTCCACTTTTTAGCTTTTTGGGTGGTTAATTGGAAAGAAGATTCTCAGGGACTTTCCTGCCCAGGCTGGTTTTGAACTGTGATCCTCAGATCTCAGCCTCCTGAGTAGCTAGGATGACAGGCATGAGCCACCGCCACCACCAGTTTCACTTTTAATTTTTTTTGAAAGTATACCTATACTGTTTTGACAGAGGGGAATATAGAAGAAAATAACCCTTCATTCCTGAGGATCTAAGTTTAATAAGGAAAATAACATTAAGCTTTAAGCAGGACAATCCTCACAGCTTTAATTATTGTTAGGAACCAGTTAGTCATATAAAGTGTTTTTCATTTAAAGTACTTGTTCAAAGGGCACTTCAATTAATAATAGTTTTTAAAAAAGAAACAGCTGTCTTTTTCTAAAATTTAAGCTACAGTTGAGTTTTTCATAGTTTGCTTCCTTATGTGTGCATGGTCTTTTGTTTTTAGGATTTGGAGGAATTAGAAAAGGGACTTCAGGTCAGCCTGTTGCACACGGGAATGCTGGGTGCTGGGGACTCCATCTACATCACCCTGGCTGACGTGGAGAAGGAGGAGAGAGAGCGCTCTGAACAGCTCCTGGACAACGTGTGTGCTGGGTTCCTGGCCCTCCCCAAGAAGGAGCTGGTTCTTGGGCGGGGTTAACACAGGATCCCATCATGCCCCGAGCAAGCTTGGGATCCAGAGCCTGAAGGTTAACAGACAGAAAGTGTAGTTGCGGGCGAGGATTCCCAGAGGACTTTTTTCCCCATTTAAACTTCAGATTGCTTTAAAAAGAAAAATTGTTTCTGCTGGTCCTGGGGCTTGCTCTTGGGGCCTGACTGTCCCTGAGCTGCTTCTGCTCAAAGATAGTGCTCTATCACTTGAGCCACAGCCCCACTTCTGTTTTTTGTTGTTGTTGTTGTTGGATAATTGGAGACAAGAGTCACATGGACTTTCCTGCCTGGGCTGGCTTCGAACCACAATCCTCAGATCTTCCCCAGGCTACTCAAGATTAGGATTAGAACAAACAGGCGTAGTCCTGGCCGACAAACGATGTGAACCAAGTGAGAGTTTCTGAAGTGAAAAGGAAAATCTCCCCTAGAGGCCCGAGGGCCACAGCCTGAGCGCGCAGCTGGGTGTTCCCAGGTCCAGGTCCTGGGCAGCTTCATGAGAAGAAGCGTGTGTTCATAGCCGTGCAGACTGCACAGCGACGGGAGGGCCTCACCAGAGCTAGGAAATGGGGCGTCCTCAGGGCCAAGGTGGCAGCCGAGGGGATGTGGGAGCGTGAAGCCGCGGTTCTTGTGAGAGGAAGGCCGGGCAGCGGCTCACCGCGGCAGCTGGGAGGGTCCCTGCCGGAGGACTGTGGAGACACCGCTTCAGAGCGGAGTCAGCATGCTGCAGGGCGTGGTGGAGAGGCGCGCTGGGTAAAACGTCCCGGGTGCAGGGTGTGGCTGTGCCTGGCTGTGGGTGAGCAGCGGTGGGTGCCGGGGAAGGCTGTGAGCTGAGAGGGCAGGGACAGGCAGAGAGTGGGCTGTGTTCACCTCCTGTCAAGAAGGAAGGTGGCTCCATGGTAGAGTGCCTGCCTCGCATGCATGAGGCCCTGGGTTCAATTCCTCAGCACCACTTAAGCAGAAAAAGCCGGAAGTGGCACTGTGGCTCAAGTGGTAGAGCGCTCACCTTGAGCTGAAGAGCTGAGGGACAGCGCCCAGGCCCAGAGTTCAGGCCCCACGACCGACAAAAAAACAAAAAGATCAGGTTCCGGGATGCTCTACACGGTTTTCTGGAAAGCCCTCTCTAAACTGTTGCCACCACAGAGGACCACGAGGACCTCCACAGAGCATGATCGGGCCCAAGATAAATTGGCTGAAGCTGCAGCTGCAGGTGGTTCAGAAACGCTTTGCACTAGGAGGTGGATCTCAAATCTCAAGTGCACGCCGTGTCGTTTGCTTTAATGAGCGTTCTCTGTCCCTTGCCTCTCGTGTTCATTTCACAGATGGAAGCTTTCTGGAAACAGATGGAAGACATCCAGCACTTTCTTGTGGACCAGTTGAAATGCTCTGGCTCCAAGGCGCGGCAGCTCCTGGCCTCCCTGAGGGAGAGGATGATGACCGCTGAGGGCTTGCTGCGGGACGCCCAGGACCTGCAGGCTCTGGTAAGGCGGGAGGGCAGGAGGGAACGCATGTGTGGTCAGGCTAGAGATGGGGGCGTCCTGAGGCCCAGGGTATCATGACAATCAGGTCACACCCTTCATGTTGTGGATGGGGGTACAGTGCCCCCCCAGAAAGCAGTGAATCTGTCATCCACGCATGGATGGAGGCGCTGGCCCAGAGGGTTCCCAAAGCTGTGCACGGTCAAGGGGGGAGCTCTAGAAAGTTCTGATGAGGTGCTGGTGGGCCTCCACCTGGGGGTCAGACTCAAGCAGGAGGGGAGGCAGCCTGGACGCTGGAGGCTGTTTTGCTCGCAGGATGGTGAGCAGTGCAGGCGCTGCCCCCTGCCGCAGAAAGAGGATTGGCTGGCTCCTCCCACTGCCCTGGGCGTCCCCTGGGGAGCTTTTAAAGGATGCCTGTGCCCAGGCACACAGCCCCGCCCCGATTCTGAACTGCCTGCTCCAGTCCTGCTCTCGATGGAGGCCTACAGAATCATTTCGTATGTGAAGGCCCGGACACGTATGCCTCTGGTAGGCTTGACAGCTGCCCTGGGCCTCCTGCCTGTGGTGGCGGTGATTTTATATGACCCATGCACGATGTTAGCGCTACACAAATGGCCCGTGCCTGGCTTGTAAAACTTTGCAGATGGTTCTGATGGGAGCCACAGATGCATCTCTCTGGTGGAGAGAAATCCACTTGTGTAACCTTGGGTGTGGGCTCAGCTCAGCCGCTTGGAGCCGGGTGATCCTTAACACCCACGAGTTGCCGCAAATAGGCCTGGTAGGTGCTGTAATTCTCCACATTCTTGATAAACCCTGGGGACTGCAGATTCTCCAGGCAGTGGTTCTGGTCTGGACAAGTGGACCTAGAATGATCTAGAATGTATCCAGTAGTGTCAATACCACCCAGAAAAATCCCCAAGATGGGACCCGAACCTTTCAGATCCCACGTCTTCAGACCAAACGAAAGAGGATGCTGAGAGACGTGGGAATCATCCTGACGGTTATGGGCACTGCCCTGGCTCTTAGTCAGTATGCTTGGCATAGGCTCTTAACCCTCATCACCTCTGACCTTCAGGTCAGGTGAGGAAACCCAGGCCCTGCGGCTCTGGTTAGGAACTTGGAAGATACTCACCTGTACTCAGGTCAGTGAGATGGCTCCTCGGCTCCTGCACGTCTTTGACCTTCCATCATCTCCCGGAACCTTCCAGAGCCCTGATGGCCACACCTGGTTCTGAGCCCCTGCAGGACCAGCATGGCCTTCCCACCATCTTCCTGGTCCTCTGCTTATCCTCTTGCGCCCTCTAGCGGCGGGCGGCCGCTGTCGGGGCTGTAGAACCGGAGGGAGCCAGGCAGGGGCCCACAGCTGTGAGGACGGGATGGTGAGGCCCAGTGCGCTCTGGTGGGACTTACCTGGGGCACTGTCCACCCTCCCCTGTTCCCTGCGGCTGGAGCAGAGGCCACACAGCTCAGCTGCAGGGAGGCCCATGGCTGGGCCAGCAACTGCGGTGCAGCCCAGGGCTGCTTCAAGGGCTCTGGAGATTGGACCTTGAGACAGGAGCTTAGGGGCAGTGGGGCACAGAGGCCCAGGGACACCAGGAACCAGGACTTGGGGGCAAAGCCCAGGAGGGGCTAGGGGTGACAGAGCCCTGTGGGACAAAGTCCCTACATCAGCCGTGCGGACAAGGGGCCAGCAGGACGGGGACAGCAGGAGTGGCAGTGGCCTGGGACAGAGACGGCCGGGGGGGGTGCAGGACCCCCACACACAAGTGGCATTCAGATAATCCCCAAGGAGCTTTGCACTCCACGGCGTCGGGACCTGTGCCGCCTCCGGTCAGCGTGCCCCGCGGCCTCTCGCCCCCACCACCCCCATGAGGTCGGGAGGCCATGGAGACAGGAGGTCTCCACTCCCAGTGGAGGTACCACTGGTTTCAGTACTGGGGGATTTAAACTGGAGGCCTTGCGTTTGCTAGGCAGGTGCTCTACCACTTGAGTCATGACTCTAGCTCCTTTTTGCTGGTCCTGGGGCTTGAACTCCACCTGGGTACTGTCCCTGTGTGTCTTTTGCTCAAGGTGAATGTAATAACACTTGAGCCGCAGCATCACTTCTGGCTTTTCGTTTCTTTTTGAGTAGTTTATTGGAGATAAGAGTCTCACAGAGTTTCCTGCCCAGGCTGGCTTCAAACTGTGATCCTCAGATCTCAGCCTCCTAAGTAGCTAGGATTACAGGGGTGAGCCACCAGTGCCCCACTCTCCAGCTTCTTTTCCTTTTGTTTTTGAGGTAGAATTCTGTGTTTTACCCAGAGCAGCCTGTGCTGTGACCTCCTGGGGGGCAGGGGCCTTCTTCGTGTCACTGGGGATGCAGGACCTGGCCTTGGGGCTTCCCTAGTGTTCGGGATAGCAGGTGTGTGCAGCCATTAGTTGAAATGACGTCTGTGAACTTTTACGCTCACCTCCTGAGTAGCTAGGATTACAGACTTGAGCCACCACGCCCAGCCTGGGAGTCAATACTCATCCCAGTCTCACCCTTGGGAAAAAATCTCTGACATCCCAGGCCTTGGGTTCTCTGGGATGGGAAGACAAGGCTGCTACGACCACGGTTGCTCTTGTGTGTTTTCCAGGACTGTGGCGGCCTGGGGGAGGGAGATGGAGGAAGGGGCAAGCACCTCTGGGTCACGTGCTTCCTGGGCTCCTGTCCCTAAGAGCAGCCTTCTAGGGAGCTCACAGGGGTGCCGAGCACACGGGCTACACGGTCCCGCGGGGAGGGGAGGGGGAGAGCGGTGTTTCTTGTTTCTGACCAGCTGGATAACAGGCACGGAGGCTCAGGGGCTCCTGGGCTGCGCTCCGAGTGTGGTGCGTGGTGTTGGAGCCCAGGGTCTCCCTGAGCCACATGGTCTGTTGATGACCCCAGGCCGTGGTTCTGTCTTTCCCTCAGGACATTCTGGAGAGAACGATGGGGCGGGCATACATGGCAAAAATGATGGAGTTCCTGAGGCTGCAGGTCCAGGAGGAGACTAGATGCCGCCTGGCCGCCATCTCCCGCGGCCTGGAGCTGCTGACCGCCCAGGGGAAGCTGTCTGCGGGGCAGAAGGAGGAGCTGCTGGCTCAGCAGCACAAGGCCTTCTGGGAGGAGGCCGAGCGCTTCAGCAGGGGTGAGCTCGCCCTCCCTGGGCCACAGGCAGAGAGGCGGGGCGGGGGGGGGGGAGGAGGAGAGGACCACAGGTGACATGGCGTCACAGGCCAGGACACGGGGTCTTGAGTAGCCAGCCTTCTGCAGGCCAGGATCCCCCAGGGAGCCAGGCTCGCCCGGAATTCCGAGGGGACAGTCCCTGCAGTGCCTAGCCATGAGCCCCAGCCCCGCGCCCTGCCCACGTGACACGGCCCTGCCCAGCTGTAGGGCGGTCAAGGGAGAGGCAGGGTCGTCGTGGACAGGGGAGCCACACGTGTTCTCGAGTGAGTTCACACCTGTCCCGGGCCCACCCCAAAGGGGGCGAGGCTCCAGTCTGAGAAGGCCCCGTGGCGGGAGCTGGAGAGGAGACAGGCCGCTGGCCGTCCGCTGCCCGCGCCAGCGCCGGCTTCCTCGACGGGGCACGGCCAGCGCCGTCGGGTCTGCTAGAGTCGCCTGTGCCCTTTGGCTCTTTCCAATCCCAGAGTTCATCCAGCGAGGCAAAGACCTGGCCCAGGCGGCCCAGGCTCGGCAGGCAGAGGAGACAGCAAGACTCACGCAGGTCCAGGAGGACGAACAGAGAAGCTTCCTGGCCAGTGCCCAGCCGACCGCAGACCCAAAGGCGTTCCTCAAGGTGACTGGGTGCCTACTCCACCCCAGGCCTCAGCCCCGGCCATGGGTGCCGTCAAAACTGACTCCCACCTTCCCATTGCAGCTGAGGTCCCCACCCAAGCCCGCTTGCCTCTTCTGGGAGCCAGTGCTGACTGGACTTCTGAGGCGGGGAAATCCTAGAGCATGGCGGAGTGCTACGGCCCCAGGGAGAGTCATGCGGGGGGGGGGGGGGACATGTCCCTGGTGTCAGGGACAGACCAGCCCTCAGCTCACGCCCAGCGCCCAGCCCTTCAAAGAGTTCCTGCAGTTCAGGGAGGAGGTGCAGCCAGCAAGTGTCGTGGGCCTTTAGTGGGAGAACAGGCCCCCTGTGGGTGTGGATGCCTTGCCAGCGCCTGGGGTCTATTCCTGGCTTCTTTGGGTGCAATGTCCAAAGTCAGGATGCAGTCCTAGGTGTGTCCCAAAGCCTGGCACTGGTCCTCTTGGCTCTTTGCGGTCTAGCGCCCCTAGTGGAAGGTCGTAGAGTGGCAACCCTGCAGTGGTGGGAGGCCAGAGCATCGTGGAGGGTCTGGGTACGCTCAGGTCCCTGGTCCACTCTCTGGCCCGCGGTGACCCTGCTGCCCCTCAGCTGGGTCTTCCCAGGCGTGGGTGGGGTCTACAGCCATCTAAGTCAGCGTTGGAGGACGGTGTCGGGGCCAGGACAGGGATGCCAAGGGTGGCTGGTGGGCCTGTGTGTAACAAAGAAAACCACCTGCCCTGCCGCCAGCTCCTGGCGGGACGGTTCTGTGCCTGTCTCCTCGAGTACAGGCTAGGGTGGCATCCGCACCCGTGAGCAGCAGGGGGGAGGGGGCTGCGTCTCTCCTGAACCGGTGTCTGTTCCACCGCAGGCGTTTCACGAGGTCCTGGAGAGGCAGCGGCTGAGGCTCAGCGACCTGCAGGAGGAAGAGGACATCAGGGCCACGGAGGCCATGACTGAGCTCTGCCAGGTACGGGCCCCCGCTGGGTGTCCGGAGGCAGGCCTGGCCCCCTGCACCACATCTTAGCTGCAGGTCGCTTCTGTCCGTGTGGAAACTGTCAGATTGGTGTATCCTGTGCTCTTCCAGCCTTACAGATAGCTCGGGGCAGGGGGGCAGGGGAGCACGCCCGGCCTCCCAGGGCCAGAGCCACTGGAGTGCGGGTGGTGAGCAGGCCACAGTCCTGCCTGTGGCCATGTGCAGAGCTGCGCGAAAGGGAGAGATGGGGACACACAGCACCTTCTGGCACGGGTTACTTTTAAGGTGAGGCTCCCTTGGTCCCTGGGCCATGCTGGCTGGGTCTTCCCGTGCCGCTGAGGGAGGCAGGTGCACCGCGCACTGCTGCGGGGCTTCTCCCACAGCTGGGTGACAGGCCTGCACCATTGCATACAGCCCTCGGGTGAGACAGAATCTAGTGAACGTTTTTCTTTTTGGCCTGGGCTGGCCTTCAAACACGATCCTCCTAATCTCTGCCTCCCAAGTAACTAGGATTACAGGTTTGTGCCACCTCGCTCATCCATTTTTCATAATTTAAAGCAGCACATTTTAAGCAAGGGCCTGGGGTGAGGATGCAGGCAACACGATGTTGGGACAGGAGAATAGCAGGGCAGAGCCAGGAGGGCCTGAAGCCCCACCGGGTAATCCCACCAGGATGGGTGTGTTTGCACACGTGTGTGCAGTGCCAGCATGTGCACCTGTGTCTCCATGTGTGTCTGTGTGCATGCTTTGTATCTGTATGTGTGCGCAGGTCAGTGTGTGCTAGCTCACCTGTGTGTGCGCACCTTGTCACTGGAGAGGCCCGTCCCGGAGTCTCCTGTGGGGAAAGGGCAGCGGGAAGTCCAGGCCGTGCAGGATGGGCGGTGACGGGAAGAAGCCACGTGGCTCTCGCTGCAGGAGCTGTACCACGGCACCATGCAGGTCTTCGGGCGGTTTGTGGACGCGCTGTTCCTGCAGACCCTCCCGGAGGTGAGCGGCCTCCCCCGGGCGGAGTGCGAGGCGCTCCAGCAGCAGGTGCGGGAGCAGGCGGCGCGGCAGCTGGGGCAGTCGGACCGACTCCGCCGCCGGCAGTGGGACGTCCTGCGGGGCCTCCTGGAGCAGGACCGGCAGGTGGGGCACCTCGGGCTGGCCGGGGCCGGGGTGCTGGGAATCTGGGGGGAACCACGGGCCCCGTGGAGTGTTGAGATCCCCAGTGCCTCTCCTGGACACCTCCCCCACGTGGTCACTGTCCCATGGAGAGCCTGGGCCGGGGCGCAGAGGCGGGGCCAGGACAGCAGTCCAGTGCACCTCACCCTGAGTCAGGAGAGGCCTCAGAATGGCTGAGGCAACATCTGTCCTGGTGATACAGGACCGCGGGGAGGGGGCCCCACGGGGAGCAGAAGAGATTGTAACAGAAACAGTTTTTGTTTGCCAGTCCTGGGGCTTGAACTCAAGGCCTGGCTCTGTCCTTGAACCTCTCTGTGCTCAAGGCTAGTGTCTACCATTTGAGCCACAGCACCACTTCCAGTTTTTTCTGTGAATGTGGTACTGAGGAATCGAACCCAGGGCTTCATGCATGCTAGGTGAGCACTCTACCATCAAGCCACATTCCCAGCCCCAGGGAGAAGGTCTCTTCACCAAGAAGGAAAAATGGCACTCACAGAGCAGGCTGCGCATGTGCCTGCGTCCCTCTCCCACTGCAGCCTAAGCATGCGTCCACGGCCCTCCGTCCCTCTGTCCCGGAGCAGGTGTGGCTGGAGGAGTGCGCGCTGTCCACCGCGCTGCAGGCCCAGCTGCAGGCCCATCACGAGAGCACCATCCACGAGGTCCTCCGGCGGCTGGGCGGCCTCTCCCAAGAGTGAGTACCACATCCCAGGGAGGAGCTCCACCCCGTGCGGTGCTCACACTCACCAGCCCGGTGTCCTCAGGAGGTGCCCGGTCCTGCCTCCCTGCGGACCTCACCTACTACAGTTCATCCGTTCTCTCCTGTATAAAATGGAGCTGATGACACCGACTCAGTGGACTTGTGTTTCTGGGAAATGTGTGTATGCACACGTGTGTGCATGTTTATGTGTGGGTGTACGCATGTGTGTATGCATTTGTATGTGTGTGCATGCCTGTTCACATGCCAGTCCTTGGGCTTGAACTTAGGACCTGGGCACTGTCCATTAACATTTTTGCTTAAGGTTGATGCTCTACTACTTGAGCCACAGCTCCACTTTCAGGTTTTTGCTGGTTAATCGAGAAGAGTCTCATAGACTTTCCTGCCCAGGCTGGCTTTGATTCACAATCCTTAGATGTCAGTCTCCTCAGGCATGAGGCATTAGCACTGGGCTCCTCTGTTCAGCTCTGTGTGTCAGTTATTATGTGCCGAGTTCTACAACTTTCATTCTTTTGCAGTGTTTCGTTATCTGGTGAAATTCCTCATCTTTTCATTTAACTCCTTGAACATGTACACGTATGATCTTAAAAGATTTTGATTATTCCAGTCCCTGGTACCTTGTGGCTATTTTTTCGTTGCCTCTTTTTTCACTTTACTGTTGGTGATGTCCTTTTATCTGTCTGTGTGTCTGGCTGTTTTTATTGACTGTGCGGGATGCCACTGATGAAGAGTTGTAGCAATAGTGTACAACTTTGACGGATGTGGTCCTCCAGTCAGAGTTTATTTTGCTTCAAGCAGGAATGTCAGGTTGTGATTAACTCCAGCCACTTGTGAGTGATTTGGGGAGGGCCGACTCCTTATTGCTAGGCCGGAGCCTTAGCCAGCTCTCCCCATCTCGGTATTCTGACTACACAGCGCTGTGCAGCCCTCAGCCTTAAGCAAACCGTTTATGTGATAAAACCAGGCGTGGTCCCCTCTGGTTGAGCAGGGTTTCTCTGCATCACTCACTGCGATGGAAACTCAGGAAGAGCTGGCAGTTCTAGTTGGGGATGTATTTTTCTGCAAGTTACACCTGCAGTTCACGTGGCTGCCCACTGCAGGCGCTGCGTCTGTGCATCTGAACTTGGGCGGGTGTAGCGGGGTGTCACCCAGGCTCTTTGGGGGTGTCTTCCTAGCTCAGTGCAGCACTGACCCCTCCCCCCAGGTCTACACAGAGCATCCTGCAGAGCCACGAGCTGCTGCTGCACTCTGCCCTCCGGCGGCTGGCTCTCCGCAGCTGCGCAGTCGCCACCCTGACGCAGATGAGGCTGTCCGGGAAGAAGAGGCTCCTCCAGGAGCTGCGGGAGCAGCTGGCCCTGGAGCAGGGCCTGTCCCAGTGTCTAGACGAGCAGCAGTGGCAGCTGCTCAAAGCCCTGGTAAGGGGTCCACCCACCTGTCCCGGCAGGAGTGCCCGCCCACAGCGGCCAAGGTGCTCACAGCCTGGTCCGGCTCTGCGGGGCTGTGCGGCCTGTCGGGCTGCGGTGCAAACCAGGCTGTGCTCAGGGCCATCTGGCTTTGCGCTAATGAGCTCTTCAAAGGCCCCCGTCTCCAAGCAGTCACAGGGGAAAGTCCCGGGGCTTCAGTGTGTGGATTACGGGGAGACACGACATAGCCCATAACAAATGGGGACCACAGCAGCCCCCATGGGGGTGCACTGTGTAGAAGGGTGTCAGTCTGGTGTAGCTGACATACTAAGAAGCGTGACAGGAAATGGAAGGCAAGCTATCGGGACACGGCAGAAAGGCCCTGCTTTCTCTGATGGCTTCACAGGGGAGGTGAGAGGTCGAGTGGGATTTGAACCCATGTAGTCTGGGCCCGTGTCTCATACATGGAGCCCAGGGCCAGGGGAGCAGCGGTGGCTTCTCACACCCCTGGGGAGACCCGGCTTGCAGTCTCCTAGCTTTGCCCAGGACACTGCCCAAGCTCTCCAGCTCCGCCTCCCCTCGCCTTCTACCCTGGGGCCTGTGTCGCTGCCACAGCTTCTGCCGTGTCCCCGGACGGCTCCCAGGTACAGAGCTGACCTTGACATCTGGCTCCGCTGTGAGACCTTCAGAAAGTTACTCAAATGCTCTGAGCCTTCATGACCTCATTGATGCTGGGCTTCAAGCCTCGTAGGCCCCACTTTGTGAGCACAGGTGGCACTAAGCACACAGTAGGTGCTTAAGACATGTACTCGGGAGGGGGGCGAACAACAGACACCTCAGCTCCTCCCCTGCAGCAGTGCTTCTGTTGCCAGACATGCCCAGAGGCCCCGTGCTCCCCCCCTTTGCCCTCCCCCCCCCAGCCTGGGCTGGCCAGAGCCGCCCTCACTGGGCAGCGTGGCCTTCCCCTGCAGGAGGCCCGTGTGCTGGAGGAGGCCACCAGACTGGAGGACGAGGCCCAGCAGACCCGGCTGCGGCTCCAGCAGCAGCTGCTGACCGAGGCGCAGGAGGCCGGGCAGCTCCTGCAGCAGCACATGCAGCGGGCCATTGGGCAGGCACTGCTGACGCATGCGCGGAACGTGGCCAGCAGGAGTCGGGCCAGGGCCAGGGCCGACTGCAAGGTATGTGCACGGACGTGTCCTCCGGGGTGGGAGGGCGGAGGGAGGCAGGGACGGATCACCTGGTCCCCAGAGCCGGTGGGGCCCTTCAGGGCCCGTGAGACGGACTCGCCGTGGGTGTCCCAGCCGGCCGCCAGCCTCCGTGGGTCAGCCCTCAGCACACGTGCACACCTCCTGTCGGCTGGTGATTCATCACTGTGGTGATGTGGCAGGGCGTTGTGTCCGGGGTCACCTGCCCCCTCACAGCCCCTGTGGGAGCGCCTCCCTCCACCCACTGCACAGATGGGTAAACCGAGCCTTCTGATGCCTGGAGCCAGGTCTTCTGTGCAGCACCCACTGGGGCAGTGCCCAGCCCTAGGGCGGTGAGGCCCACCCCACCCATGACACAACTGGAGGAGCAGCCCACGAGGCTGGCACACACGGCTGCCTTACAGTCCTGTGGCCAGCAGGCAGCCTGGCGCTCGGGGCCTTTCAGTGCATCTTTGCCTTTAAGTAAACTGAGTCACCTTGCTCATCTGCACAGCTGAGGCAGGGCACAAGCCTCCTCCTAAATGTCTGACATGTATCTCGGGCCACGCAGTCCCAGGGCCGAGCCTGGCTGGTGACTTGGGAAGGTCTCCTCTGTTCTAGAAATCCCCCGATGTAAATGCTCACAGATAGAAGTCATACCAGAGAGAAGCCCCATGGGTGTAGGCAGTGTAGGAAGGCCTCCGTGGCCTCCACTGACCTCTGGTGACCTTCAAAGGCAGGACAAACGCACACATAGAGACACCTAGAAGGGACAGGTGTGTGTGGGAAAGCCTTTGCTCAGCCAGACCACCTTGCATCATGAAAGAACTCACGCTGGACTGAACAGCTACGGATGCAAGCAATGTGACCAGGGGGTAGGCCATCTGTCTAGCAATCAGAGACCCTGAACTCCAGCTCCATTACTATTCAAAAGGGTAAAACCTATGGACTATATATTTCTAATTTTTACCCTGATTTTTTTTTTTTTTGTGGATTCACTTCCAGTTTTCTGGTGGTTCACTAGAGATAAGTCTCATGGATGTTCCTGCCCTGGCTGGCTTTGAACCACAATCCTCAGATCTCAGCCTCCTGAGTAGCTAGGATGACAGGTATGAGCCACCAGCACCTGACTCCATGAAAGAAATCTTAAAGCTTGGTGGACCGTGCTGAGAGTCAGCCTTTGTGGGAAGCTGAGGCAGATGGTTACTGCCCATAACTTGACAATCAGCAAGAGTCTGTTTCAAGCAATAGCTCAATAACTGAATCAAAGTGCAAAATGATGCTCATTGCATGAAGGATGATGTAGTACACCTCTGACGCTTTGAGCAGGGGTTGGACATGAATGTTCTCCAGCCACCATATTGTGGCCTCTTATCATGTGGCCTGGACACCACATGTGAGTGTGGACAGGTGGGCAGCGTGGTGCCCGCATGCAGCCAGCCAGGAGTCCAGAGGGAGGGAAGAGCAGGAGGAAGAAGGCCTAACACCGGACATTTGCTGAGATACAAGATGGGCTGTAGGAAAGATGGGAGCCCCATAGCAATGTTTTGGGGGGGTGTCTCCCAGTACTGGAGATAGAACTCAAGAGGCTTGCACTCCTACTTAGCTTTTTTGCCCAAGGCTGGTGCTCTACCACATGAGCCACAGCTCCACCTCTGAATTTTTGCAGGTTAGCTAGAGGTAAGAGTCTCTCAGAGTTTTCTGCCTGGACTGGCTTTGATCTGTGATCCTCAGAGTTTAGCCCCAAGTAGCTAGGATTACAGGCAGGTACCAGTTGCCCAGCACAAATGTATTAATTGATGAGACACCACACCAGCCAATCAGAAACAGGGTGCCGCCAAGGCTGTGGTCAAGGAAGAGGGCCGTGCCGTGGACACACCCACTTCGGCCACGGACTGCTCTGAGGAAGGACTTCCTGTCCCTGGCAGGGCAAAGGGGAGCTGCTGGCGGGAGTGTGGGTGGAATCTGGACCCCTCCCTGAGGCCAGGGAGAGAGGATCTGCTGAGCTGGCCGAGACCCGCAGGCCGGGAGCGGCGCTGCGGGCCTGAGGACGCACAGCAGCGGTCCTGCAGCTCGGCCGGTTCTTCAGCTCCCAGCGTGGGATACGGAGAGGCCCAGACCGAGGCCTCCGCTGGCCCGTCACCTGTGCAGGGGCGCGGCCGCCCTCGTCCTGACCCCGCGTCACCTGTGCAGGGGCGCAGCCGCCCTCGCCCTGACCCTGCGTCACGTGGGCAGGGGGCAGCCGGCCTCGTCTTGACCCCGTGTCACGTGGGCGGGGGCGCAGCCGGCCTCGTCTTGACCCCGTGTCACGTGGGCAGGGGCGCGGCCGCCCTCGTCCTGACCACGTGGGCGGGGGCACAGCCGCCCACGTCCTGACCCCGTGTCACGTGGGCAGGGGCGCAGCCGCCCTCTCCCTGACCCTGCGTCACGTGGGCAGGGGGCAGCCGGCCTCGTCTTGACCCCGTGTCACGTGGGCGGGGGCGCGGCCGCCCTCGTCCTGACCCCGTGTCACGTGGGCAGGGGGCACAGCCACCCTCGCCCTGACCCTGCGTCACGTGGGCAGGGGGCAGCCGGCCTCGTCTTGACCCCGTGTCACGTGGGCGGGGGCGCAGCCGGCCTCGTCTTGACCCCGTGTCACGTGGGCAGGGGGCACAGCCACCCTCGCCCTGACCCCGCGTCACGTGGGCGGGGGCGCGGCGGCCCTCGTCCTGACCCCGTGTCACGTGGGCGGGGGCACAGCAGCCCTCGTCCTGATCGTGTCACGTGGGCGGGGGCGCAGCCGCCCTCCTCCTGACCCCGCGTCACGTGGGCAGGGGGCAGCCGCCCTCGCCCCGACCCCGACCCCGCGTCACGTGGGCGGGGCGCGGCGGCGCCTCACCTGGCGGGTGACTCACTGGACTCCGGTCGCCCTCCGCAGAGCGCGCTGGCCGAGGCGGTGGCGGAGAGCGTCTACGTGACCGGCGCCGGCATCGGCCGCCTGGTGCAGGCGCACGAGCAGCGGATCCGGAGGGTCGTGCGGGACCACGAGGAGGGCGTGCTGCAGCGCCTCAAGACCCTGCAAGGTACTGCGCCTGCGCAGAGCGGGGGGGGGGGGGTGCGCCTGCGCAGAGCCATGCGCCTGCGCAGAGCCGGGGTCCTGCTGTGGGGGTTCGGTGTGCCTGCGCAGAGCCAAGTTCCAGCCGCAGGCATCAATGCGCATGTGCAGGTGGGCTCACCTTGGAGAACCTAGTTTGCGTGTTTATTCACCCGCCCCTCCAGGCCAGAAGCGTTTTCTCCAAGGCACGTACCAGACCACACGCACACAGCACGACGGGACTCAGGGGAGACCAGCAGCAGGCAGACGGGGGAGGGTCAGGAAAGGTCATCATCTGAGACCAGGGCCAGCAGGCGACCGCCTGACCCCAGGACAGGCAGCCAGTGCCCTGGGGAGGGGAGCACGCATGCCCGTGTCCTCGTTCTTGTGCACGTTCACACCTATGTTCACAGCCACGGCTACACACACCCACTAACACAGCCACGGCTACACACACCCATGACCAAACACAGCCTTGTCTACACACACCCACGAACACAGCCATGACTACACACACCCACGAACACAGCCACGGCTACACACACCCATGACCACAGCCACGGCTACACACACCCACTAACACAGCCACGGCTACACACACCCATGACCAAACACAGCCTTGTCTACACACACCCACGAACACAGCCATGACTACACACACCCACGAACACAGCCACGGCTACACACACCCATGACCACAGCCACGTCTACACACACCCACGACCAAACACAGCCACGGCTACACACACCCACGAACACAGCCACGGCTACACACACCCATGACCAAACACAGCCTTGTCTACACACAGCCACGACACCACACACCCACGAACACAGCCACGGCTACACACACCCATGACCAAACACAGCCTTGTCTACACACACCCACGAACACAGCCACGTCCACACACCCACGAACACAGCCACGGCTACACACACCCATGACCACAGCCACGTCTACACACACCCACAACCAAACACAGCCACGGCTACACACACCCACGACCAAACACAGACATGGCTACACACACCCACGACCACAGCCACGGCTACACACACCCACGAACACAGCCACGGCTACACATACCCAACGAACACAGCCACGGCTACGCACACCCATGACCACAGCCACATCTACACACACCCACAACCAAACACAGCCACGGCTACACACACCCACGACCACAGCCACAGCTACACACACCCACGACCAAACACAGCCACGGCTACACACATCCATGACCAAACACAGCCACGGCTACACACACCCATGACCACAGCCACGGCTACACACACCCACGACCAAACACAGCCACGGCTACACACACCCATGAACACAGCCTTGTCTACTCACACCCATGACCACACTCACACCCATGCCCACATCCACCTCCACGCCCATGTACACCCACATCCACGTTCACAGCCATGTCCATGTCCACACCGGTGCCCTATCCACACCCATGCCCACATCCACACCCATGCACTGGCCGCACCCATGCCCATGGCCATGCCAGCGCTTGCAGCTCTCCGTGCCCTGCATCTCTGTGTGGGCCCCCTTCCTCCCAGGCCATGTGTCTTGGGGAGGCCCGGGTCCCCCTGCCGCCTGCACGGTGTCCCCGCCCCGCCCCGGGCTGACCTGCGTCTCGGGTCCACGCAGGTGCGCGGCTGGACGGTTACGAGCTGCGGAAGAAGCAGGATGCGGGCTCGCCCCAGGCGGGGCACTGTGGGGCAGGCGATGCCCCTGAGGTCTCCCAGACTGTGCAGCAGAGGTGAGCCTGCCCGCCGGGGACCTTCCGGGAGCCGATCCTGAACGCTGGGCGGGAGGTGGGCAGGGGCAGAGGTGGAGACGGGGTGGATGGGTTTGGATGGTCTATCTGCTGAGCACTACAGTGGCTAGGGAAGGGAAAGCGAGTAAGAGAGGGAGAGGACAGAGCCCAGGGACAGCACCCAGGGCTTGAGTTCAAGCCCAGTGCGTGCACACACATACACACACACACCATACGATACCACTGTGTGCGCAAACACTTTGCTGCTGAGTCTCCACATAGCCCCACTTCTCAGCCTCCCCCTCCCCCACTTCCCTGCCCCATGGACGGTTCGCTGAGCTCCCCCGCCCGCCATGTTTCAGGGTGGGGCAGCCTCCGGCCGGGGCTCGGCTGTGCCCTGTGCACGCGCGGCTGCGGTACCCGGCCGGTGTGGCCACAGCCCTCCCAGCGTCCAGCGTGTCCCACCACCACCCCCCTCCACCCGGCAAGCCCAGGCCCTGGGCCCCAGCCGTCCCCTCCCCTCCCTCCAGGATGCTGAGGCGGCAGAAGGCGTTCCTGGCCCAGTTCACAGTGTCCCCGCACAGCCGCCTGGACGCGCAGAGGCGCAAGGCCAGCGCCCTGGACCTTCTGGAAGCCCAGCTGGAGACCCAGCTGCAGGTGCCGCCGTAGCCTAGCCGGGTGGAAACAGGGCGTACTCATGTTCACGGCCCCCTGGAGGGGCCCTGTGTGCCTCCCCGACCCCCAGCCCTGCACTCCTGTCCCTGCGCTCCCCTGTCCCCAGCTCCTCGGGCTGCGTGTCCGTTGATGCCGTAGCAGCTGCGCCCTTCCCAGAGGCCTGGGGTGTCAGGCTGGCGCCGCTCCCCCCCCCCTCACTGGTGGGATCGAGCCTGGCACCTCACCCGCAGCACACAGGAGACTCGGATCTCCTCTGTGTGAGAGCGGACGATGTGGCCAGGGACGGTAGCGCAGGTGTGTAATCCCAGCCATTCAGAAGGTAGAGGATCCCTGTTCAAGACTAGCCTGGGCGAAGTCAGGGTGAGACTGGGTCTGAAAAACAAGCCATGGAGCAAAAGGGCTGGGGTGTGGGTCGGTTCACAGAGCGCTTGCCTAGCAGGCTCCCAAAGCCCTGAGCTCAACCCCTGGCCCTGAGAAAGCCGAACTATGGCTCTAATACAGAGTGGCTTCCCCAGAACAAAAGATGACTCCAGAATGGAGTTGTGAGAGAGCAGGGTGTTATCTTTCACCTTTGACCCTGTGGGGGTGACACCACACTGGTGGCCTTTGGCACTCCCTGTCTGCAGGTTGATTGCAGACAAGTTGCTGAACTGACCAGCAACCAATGGGAAGTTACAGGTGGGGAAACTGAGGCTTGTAGAGCTGACATTCTGCCCTCCCCCCATCCCACAGAAGGAAGTGTGGGACTCCAGGCCTGTCTGGATAGACTAATAAACGGCAGCCATGTGTTCAGCCCTGTGGAAGCGGGAGGGCCCTGGTCTGAGCCGGGTGGCAAGTCTCCTGCCTGTTTCTCATGTGTAGACAGGGCTGTTGGCCAGTGAGGGGACCCCGGTTCCCCAGCAGCTGCTTTCCCCTGTGCCTCCTGACAGCGTCCATGGAGCCCTGGAGGGGCTCACGGGATGCGAACCCGCAGCCGATCCTGTCGTTCACTCACCAGGAAGCAGAGCAGATCTTCACCTCCGAGCTGGCGGCCTTGGCCCGCGTGCCCCTGGCTGAGCACAGGCCGCTCAACAGTAAGCGCGGGGCGCCAGGTGAGTCTCGGCCCGGGGGCCGCAGCGGGAGGCGCTCTGCACGGAGCGCCACAGGTTCGAACCCCAGGCCCACTTCTAATGAGCTGTGTGGCCTTAGGGGTTGTCCTGAGCCTCTCTGGGCTGCCCTGCTCTGCCCTTTGGGGAGGTGGGCAGGCTCAGGCAGGACGCCCTGGCCCCGGCTCCGCAGCTCTCACCCCAGTGAGACGGGCAGTGTGTCCTCCTCCTCTGCCAGTGGCCCTGTCATGCACAGGGGCCCCCACTGGCAGAAGGGAATGATGGGGGACAGGGGCCTCAACTCAGCCATACCTGCACCTGCCTGTCTTCCCCAGAGAAGCCGGTGAGGACCAAAAGGAGGAAGACCCCGCCCCAGGAGAGAGGGGACCCGGGGCCGCCCAGCGATGGAGGCCCCGCCTTGGGGGACCGCGCCTCAGCTTCACTCAGGTACTCGGACACCCCCCAACTCCTGCCCCGCACCGTGCCCGCCTGGGCAGGAGATGGACTCCCGCACCACCAGCAACTTGCAGGCTGGATGGGCGGTGCACCGCGCGGTCTCCGGAGGGGCCGCGTGGCTGTCCCGGTCTGAGTCATCAGTAACCCGAGGGTTATTGGCTGTGGCCTCCTCGCTGGGGGCCGGCGGGTCCTCGGTGCCCCCCGCCCCCTCCCAGCAGAGGGACATGCGCGTTGGCTTCATGACCTTGTTCTGGTGTCCTGTGGCTGCCGGGTCACCCCACGGCCTCCACGGCCCAGCTCTAACCCCTGCCTTTCTTTCTTCTGTCTTATGCAGCACAAGGCCGGGTCCACAAGAAGGCGAAGTAGGGGCCAGGGAGGACGCAGGGAAGTTGCTGAAGAAGAGAAGCAACCTGTAGCTCAAGGCCCGGGCTGCGCCTATCTGCGGTGCACAGCGCCCCTTGTGGCGGCCTGCGAAGCTGCTCCTGGAGGCAGCAGGTGGTGCCCGGGACTGGGAACAGCCAGCTGCTAGGGACCAGTGCTGTTTCCCCAGGTCTCGTCCCTCCTCCTGAGTGTCCCTTCCCTGGCCCACCCGTGCCCCTGCTGCCAGACCTCGCTGTCCCAAGCTGGAGGTCTCTGGGAACAGCCCTGAGCCCTCTGCTCCTCGCTCCCAGCGGGGACGTGGGGTCTCCCCTCGCAGGTCCTCCCCCACCTCCCATGCCCTGGCACCCATGTCACAGTGCTCCCAGCACGGCCGGCCTGCCAGACCCCATTGGGTGACCTCAGTCCTCTCCCCAGGGGACTTGGGGACACAACACCCAGCCTTTGAGTGTCCCTGGGGACCGGAGCCTTTCCTGATGGAGGATGCAAACATCTAGAAGCTTCCACAGCAGCCCCATGCGGCCCAGCCAAGGCAGGCTTTCCCTGCAGGGGCCCACACCAGGGCCCTCGGCCCCAGCACTGTCACGAGGGAGATGCGTGGCTGGTGTGGGATGTAAAACCGCCCACAACGAGATGGGAGTATCTTTTGCATCAGACCCAATAGAGCCAGGGGACAGGGACGGGGAGACCGCGTGAGAGCCGTGCGTGGTAGACTGGCACCTCGGAGCTCAGGGTGTGTGGCGGTGTGGACACCTCACCAGCTACACCGTGCGCTCCCTGTGGCTCAGGGACTAGGTTCAAAGGGCACATGGTTCCGTGACCCCTGAAGGCCCCTGGAACCCACCCGTGATCTGGGATGACAGATCACCACACACTCCTGAATAAACCCATTACTTTGGAGTCACCTCGTGTGGTCCTAGGCTACTCTGTGCATCACAAGGCACTCTGCTTTGCTCAGCACTGTTGCTCCATCGTGCCCAAGGCCATGTCTCTGCCGTTACCCAGTGCCCATCAGGGGCATCTTCCACGGGCATCTTCCACAGACCGCAGTGAACCTGTGCCCTTCCCAGGCAAAGCCAGAAGCCCAATGCAACGTCAAGTGGACGCTGCCAGCATTCTCACAAAACCTCCTTGTGGGCCTGCAGGGCTGTGTTCCAGGGCTGTGTCCCAGGGCTGGCCCTCAGCGCCCTCTGTGGGCCACTTGGAGCATTTCACATGTCTGTGGCCTCCCATGGAAGTCCGGCTTTATACAGAACTCTGGGAACGTGGCCTGTGCAGAGGTCCCTGCGTGGTGGCCTGTGCGGAGGTCCCTGCATGGTGGCCTGAGCCCTCTGTGGGTGGCAGGTGTGGTATAAATGTACAGCGTGTCCTCTCCCCCTCCCCCCAGCCACCAGGATTGGCCAGGTCACCCAATACTAGCCTCTCTCCCCAAAACCCACTGGCACCCCCCTTCATCTTGCCCCCTGTGGGTCTCTGAGTCTGGCCTTGACCTTCCTGGGCTCAGGAGCCTGCCTCTGGTCTTCTGGCCGGGTTGTCGCAGGCTGGGGAAGCGTTTGGCCCTCCCGATGAAAGCACAGTCAGGTGAGCGGGCAGTTTCTTTCTTTTATTTTTTCACAAGCTTTTGAGTTCAGAAATAAGAGCCACAAACAAATCAGTCATTAAGTAAAAATGGGGTGATTACAAAGGCGAACTGTACAAAACGTTAAAAACCTGGCTGTCCTCCTGGGAAGGGCCAGGGCTCCAGTGGCCTGCAGCAGCCGTCACCCCACCGTCCACAGCCCTAAGTGGGGATGGAAGGAGACCCCCTTTCTGTGTGGGTCTAGGACACACACACACACAACACGGGAAAGACATCATGGCCAAGTTTCTAGTGCCACAGAGCCCAGGTGTCTGACCCAGGACGCAGATGGCGGCCGTCTGCGGCCCCGTCCAGGGCCTCCCTGCCCTCCTGAGTACTCCCAGCTGGCGGTGGGGAGGGGTGCGGTGGAGGGGGCCTCTTTCTAGTGAAGATGGGGTGGGGCGGGCGGGGTAACATGGGACTGCTAGTGTGGAAACGGTCCCCAGGGGCTGGAGGTCTTGGCATCGTGTCTCGGCCGTGGGCAGTGTCCTCGGACGCGCGCGGACTCACACACATAACTTAGGGGCATGCATCTCGTACTCTATAACACCTACGGTGCCAAGGAACCACCGCTCAGAGGATCATGGAGCCACTGGAGGCAGAGGTGAGGGGACAGGAAGGACGGTGTGAAACCCGTGGTTCACAGGGGAATGGAGACACCATGCTCTGAGGTGGAGTTGGCGTGAGCACACACAACGGGCAAAGGACTTCCAAGCAAACACACCACACTAGTACCACTTCTTCCTAAGCAGAAAAGGAGGAGGCATCATTCAACCCCCCTCCCCCATCAGGACCAACTAAAACCGTGGCTTTCAAAAACACAGGAAAAAGGAATGGACATTATTCCCAGAATCCTTCACTCTTAGTGCATCCGTTCAACCCGTGGTCAACCGAGGCTGGTGATGTTGGAGCGGCCACCAGGGGGCGCCACGATGCGATGGCCGGTACGCCTAGGGTTGTTGTCATCTATCTGGGCACCTGGAGGAGAAGATGCTGCTGCTCATTTGAGGATGTGGTGCCGGCACCATCCTCCAACGCCCTCAACGCATCTTCCTCACCATGGTTCCTGGGTTCACCCAGGAAGCCTGCCTGCCCCCCAGGACCCCCACTTTCCAGTGTCCCTCAGCCCACGGGGTCCGCTTCCTGCAGCTTTGTGCATAACTTGACGTTCTCTGTGTGTGTGTGTGTGCACGCACCTGCACACCAGTCCTGCTTGAACTGGGGGCCTGAGTGCTGTCTCTGAGCTTCTTTTGCTCAAAGCTAGTGCTCAACCAGTTGGGCCACACACAGAGCCACTTCTGACTTTTTGCAGGCTAATCGGAGATAAGAAAAGGTCTCACAGACTTTTCCTGCTCATGATGGCTTTGAACTGTGATCCTCAGATCCCAGACTCTTGACTAAGTAGGATTACAGCCATGAGCCACCAGTGCCCAGCCCGCTCTTCGGTGGTAAGTACCCTAACCCGAGTCCCATCTGCAAACTCCTGAGTGGCCAGACTGCTCCCCACTCCCCACCCCACCTCTGGTAGCTCTTCTCAGCACAGAACCCCGACTGCTCCATTGGCAGAGAACCCACAGTTCAAACCAATGAACACATCCTGGCTCTCTGTGCCTTTCCCCACACCACCCAGGACGTCACCTTTCCCAACGGCAACTGGGAGCGGTGTGACCTGCTGGCCACCACTGGCCCAGTGCCTTACCGTGTATGGGCTCAGGACAAGTTTCACCTTATTTAAAATCATGGCATTTTGAGGCTGTGACAGCCTAGACTCTGCCCTGTGGCTCACAAAGCCCAACTATTCACCATCTATCTGTCCCTCAAGAACATCTGTCCTGCTCTAAGGGTGCATGCCTGCCCTCAGGTGGCCATCTGAGGCATTGCAGGCATGAGACTCGAGCCTTACGGGGTTTTGGCTGACACCAAATTTCATGGGTCCTTCCTTGGCTTCCAGTCTAGGGCAATAACCCCACAGTACACAGGTGGGGGAGGCTAAATCAAAATCCATATGACAGAAGTGCTTCGGCCACCAGGGCCTCCGCAGATGACCCGGAAGCATGTTTGCCAGCAAATGGCAGTGGTCCCTGCCTGGTGCTCAGGTCCAGCTCAGCTTCAGGGACACAGGGGCAAACGTGTCCCTACGCATGCAAGCTGGGGCGCAGACCTGCAAGCCGCCGTTAGGAATCAACACGCAGGACTCTGTACTGTGACCCCCGACACGTAGCTGGAACAGGCTCCCTGGGGCCCCTCACCCCGCCTTCCTCCGGCCTGAGCGGGGCCTGGGGCGCCTCCCGCCTACCTGATAAGCTGAAGTTGGACTGGTGGAGGTTCCTGATGGGCGGGGGCTGGTGTTTGGAAGGCGAGGATTTGGCAGAAGGGGCGGGCGTTGCGTATTTGGGTGTAGCTGGCACCTCGTACACAGGACCGTCATACATGCCCCTGGAAACCCCGTGCAATCCAGAAACCTAGACAGAGGGAGGAAGGGGATGATCCATGCTGTGTGTGTGTGTGTGCACACGCGTGTGCATGGGTGTGCTTCCCAGCAAAGCTACAGATAAGGGGGTGTGGAGGTCTCCTGCACACATGGGAGCATGCAATCCACACACAAGACCTATCAAACACACAAACCACTCCTGCACACACTCATAATATATGCACTGATACATGCACGCGTGCATGTGCACACACACAGCTTCTTGAAGGACCCAAATCCAGTCCCTAGTTCAGCGGCTGCACAGGAGCACTGTCCTCTTCTCCACATTCTCGCAGAGGACACAGACTTTGGGGTCGTGGAGGTGCGGGGGAGGAACGCTGCCTGGGCCTGCAGGCAGAGGCCTCAGGACATAGCAGGGCGTCCCGGGGCCGACCTGGGGGTGGAGCAGGGCCTGGGCCTCTCCTCTCACCAGGCAGGGGCTCCCCCAGCAAAAGGGGCAGAGAAGCGGAGACCTCAGGACGCCGCCCGGGCTGGAGCGCAGGCTCCGCCAGGCCGAGGGGGTCAGGCCGGTGCGGTGTCTGTCATCTGCGCTCTCCTCAGCGCCAGGCTCCAGAACCCAGCACCTCTGCCCAGCGTTCCCCTTCTTCCTGTGCACAGCCTGCTTCCCCCCCCCCCCCCGTGTCCTCACCACCCACCACCCTGCTTCCGGCTTTCGGCCAAACCCCTTCCCTTGCCCCCAAGCTCAAGCTGGCCCAAGGTAGATCTGGCCAGCCTCTCCCTGCCGGGCCTGCTCGCTGGGGGAGGGGGGGGTCGGCTCTGCTCCTCACAGCCTGAGCCCCACACGAGCCAGCGTCAGGCCTGGGCCAGCTGACCCAATGAAGCCTGCCCAGGGGGGCCGGTGCCTCTTGGTGGGCAGGGCCCCCTCAAGTCCCACCCCACCCCTACCGCACCTCAGCCCAGGCCTGTGCCCCGTTCCCACCCGAGATGGGAGGCTTTGTGCCCCACTCGGTGTCTGACCTGGAGCTGCTGGCCAGGCAGGGGTCTGGATGCATCTGCATCGGTGGTGTGAACAGCGTGAACACACACAATGGACACACGCAGCCAGGCCTGTGCCCGCCTCTGCCAGGACCTTCTGAGCCAGGACGGCCATCTCAGAGCAGAAGACAGGGCGGAGCGGGGCCAGGAGCTGGGCAGGCGCCCGTCTACCAGAGGACCGGGGCCAGGGCACCGTCTAGCCCGCCGGCTGGGCCTGAGGGGCCCCGAGCAGGTGTGGCCAAGTCCACCCCGGCTCTGAGCGGGAGGAGACCCCGTGCCCTGGCGTGGGGCAGAGGGGCTCCAGCCAGCCCAGGGTGGCTCGCTGACCACCCTCACAGCCCTCCCGTGCCCACTGCCATCCAGGTCCCGCAGCCAGCAGCCCGCAGGCCTGTCCTGACACATCTGACCTCTTGGCCAATGAAGAACGGGGGGGGGGCAGGCAGCTGGGCAGACCCCGAGTGTCCAAGAAAGGGCGCGGGATCCCGCGGCCCCACTCACCTTGTTCCTGATCTTGACGCGCTGGTAAAGGAACTCGGGGAAAGGCTTGCGCGGGATGAAGCGGCCGGCGCCCTTGCTGACGCTCACGTTCCCGTCCTCGAAGACGACCTTGCCCTGGCTGATGACGGCCAGCGGCGAGCCGTGGCACTCCATGCCCTCGAAGATGTTGTACTCCACGGCCTGCGGGCCACGAACCCGGCTTTACTCCACTCAACCCTCGCTCTCCCCGGCACCCGCCACGCTGCGCGCAGCAGGCACGTGCCTGTGCTTGGCCCGAGTAGGTGCTGGGTTTTCTCCTCTGAAAGCTTCCTTTTAAGGACTGGGTAGTATTCCACTGAGTGTTGTAAGGAGCGCCTGTCTCCCTGCGGGCCATCTCCACGCTACACATGCTACTGCTGTCCCCCAGTACCACCACCCAACGCTGCGGGTGCTTGATTTACGAGTCCCACCACACTGCCCAACTTCTGCCGAAGACAGGCTGCCTTCGCAAGTCTACAGCGGTCACCTTACCACCCCAGCCGGCCACACTCGCTCTGACCTGGCTGTGGCTAGGCACCATTTGCTTTTCTGGGGGACAGTGACCCAAAATGAGAGTCAGATGGCACGAGGACTTAACAATTGACTTACAGGAATGCGGAGCTGAGAGCTCATTGGTACTGAAGTGCCTAGTGCACAGGCGATTACAGATGATAGTGATACGCAATACGCAATTGCGTGCACGCTTCACGTAGTAATCAGATCACATAACATCATTTGGTCAAGCCCCTAACATACAGGGATTGGTTTTTACTTTTGTGCCGGCACTGGGGCTTGTGCTCAGGGTCCTGGGCTCTCACTTGGCTTTTGTGCTCATGGCTGGTGCTCCACCACTGGAATCACACCTCCACTTCTGGCTTTTTGCTGGTTAATTGGAGTTAAGAGTCTCCTACATTTGGACAACTTCAAATATTGATCCTCAGATCTCAGCCTCCTGAGTAGCTAGGGTTACAGATGTGAGCCACTAGTGTCCTGCTGGGAATTAAAATTTTCTGTGTTTGGATTTCCTTTGGTATGTACTTATCTACACTATACATGGGCAAAACTCAGTGTGGTAAATCCACAAGTGAGTCGAGACTGGCTGTACTGCTCTGGGCATCAGCCACAAGAACAGTGTGTCAGCTGGGACATTTCTGTGTCTTCTCTCCTCTTTTTGGGGGAACAGCTTTCTAAGGTCAAAGGCCGGGTCAGAGGTCATGGCCTTCCTCAAAGCACTGCAGGACACCAAAGAACTATTTTCCCAGACGTTCAGACCAGTTGCCTCCCGGGCAGAAGGGAGGAGAGCTATGCCGTCCCTATGCTCTCCAGCAGGGGGCAGTGTCCTGGGTTACTGCTGATGCCAACATGAGGAACAACAGGGCACAAAGGCACAGTCATGGCTGCCAGTCTCATACAAAGATGCTCCCCAGCCCCCTGCAGTGCCCACAGCGCCTGCCACCCCAGCCACTCAGGAAGCTGGCGTCTGAGGACCACGATTCAAATCCAACCCAGGCAGACGCATCTCCAATGAACCACCAAAGAGCCCGAAGTGGAGCTGTGGCTCAACTGGCCAAGCACCGGCCTTGAGCAAAAAAGCTAAGGGTCAGCACTCAAGCCCTGATTTCAAACCCCAGTATGGACCGTGGACACACACAGACACAGAGACACAGACACACACACCAAACTCCCGGTGAACCCCATCCAGTGTGGCAGTTACAGCAGGCTCTCCGGGGAGCGTCAGGTGGCTAGGAAGGAAGGCGTGCGGCACGGGAGTGGCTGGTGAGCTGCCCAGAGCCCTTCACATCTCTGTGTCACAGACGCCTGCCTCAGGCCAGACTGCAGCGGCAGAAACCCACCAGCCATTTTTAACCACAAGCCTCTAAAATGCTGGCGAAGATGCCGAGACCAGAACCACGAAGGCTGCTGAGACTGCTTCAGGAGGAGAGGCGTGAGGGAGAGCACGGAGGGGCGAGCGTGCCCAGGACACGTCGTACGTACGCACGTCCGTATGCACACACCGTGGAGGTGTGCCATGACCCCTGCCTGCCCCAGGTAACTACAGAGGCTAACAGCAGGAGAGACAGAAAGACACCACGAAGCAACCGGGAAGAAAGCTGCGCGTGCAACTCCGGACTCACCGACTTGTGACTCTTGGCCGTTATGGTCTTCACCCTGTCAGGGTCCCAGATGACCACGTCGGCGTCGGAGCCTACCGCAATCCGGCCTTTCCTTGGGTACAGGTTAAAGATCTTGGCTGCGTTGGTGCTGGTGACGGCTACAAACTGGTTCTCATCCATTTTGCCTGTGGCCTGAGGACAAAGCCGGAGTTTGAGAGGGCACCAGGGCCAGAGCGGGCTGGGGAGAGGCAGTGGTGGCGGAGGGGCGGGAGGGTTCTGTGCATCCTCCCCTCTCCTGGCTGCACAGGGTAAAGGAACCGCAGGCTGGTGATGTTGGCACAAGCCAGGCCACCAAGGTTCACGGGCCCAAGCTTCACAGGAAGGAAAACCTCCAGCTTAAGCCAGGTGCTGGTGGCTCATGCCTGTAATCCCAGCTACTCAGGAAGCTGAGATCTGAGGATCATGGTTCAAAGCCAACGTGGACAGGAAAGTCTGTGAAACTCCAATAAACCACCAAAAAAAACCCAAAACACCACCACCAACAACAAACCTCGAAGAGGCGCTGTGGCTCAAGTGGTAGGGTATTAGCCTTGAGCAAAAGAAGCCCAGGGACAGCGCTCAGGCCCTAAGTCCAAGCCCCTCCCCACAAAAATCCCTCCAGCTTGAGGTCAGCCGTCATAATAATGTCGAGTTCTCCATCTACCTCACACCTCAGCTGCGACACGCTCACACACACGTGTACACACACATGCGTGCACACACAGCCATCTCCACAGGAAGTAAAACACGGTTCCCAGAGAATGAAGAGCCCAGCACACCGAGGCCCGTGGCGCACGCTGTGCGCCTGAGAATCCACCTCCGCCGCCACTGACGAAGACTGAAGAGTCCCGAGTGCAAAATCCACTGGCCATGATGGGCCAGGCGGGATGTTTCTAGAATATTCTAGAAAAGAGGCAGGACCAACTCACCACGGCCTTGTCCCAGACGACAGTCATCCGCTCCTCCACGCCGTTGACGCCCTCGGGGATCAGGGTGAAGTTGTCCTTGCCCACGGCCTTCTGGGCAGTGCTGTAGGGACAGTGGCCGCTGCCTGTGACCTGCAGGTCTCCACTGAAAGGGGCAAAGACAAGGCGGGCTCAGTGCTGAGGACAGAGAATGCACACCGGGACTTCAGCCAGCAGCCCGGGCGGGGCTGTGTGCCCAGCATGGGGCGGCTTGGAAGCTGGACTCCCCTGGCTCAGGAACCTGCTCTTGACCGCAGGGTCCAGCCGGGCACTGGCTTCCCAGAACCCCCTCTCGGGGAAAGCCTTCGTCCCTCCGCCTGGCCACTGGGAGCAAGGGACTGAAGCGGCCAGCGCCTGCTCCTGGGATGGTTTCCCATGCCCAGCTCACACCGGACACCTTCTGCCCTCTGCAGACCACTAGGGGCGCTGAGAAGGAGCCATGAGAAGCTGAAGGGGACAGGCCGGGGTGTGCAGCCAGGATTGGGTCCCAGCTTTTCACCCCCAATCCTGCGTGTGCCAGCCCACCTCCAGCCTCATCGTCCCCCCCCCCACTCCCCGTCCTATGGCGCTCACCAGGCCAGCAGGGAGGTCAGGTGATCCGGTGTGGTGGGGTCTGGGCTCAGAGGAGGGGAGGTGATGAACGCCGCAGCCTTGGCCCAGTTCTTGCTCCAGTAGTGGGTGCCGTCCGTCCCCAGGCTGGCCGCGATGGGCTCCCCCAAAACGAGGGGCCCTGGGGAGACAAAGGGCCAGCATGCTTAGCCAGCTGCAGGCAGGACTTTGCTCTGGTGGCTACTGCTTCACTGTGGTGTGCCCACCACATGTGGCTGGAGTAGCCACATGACAGCACGGACCTGTCCTGACTGCACCTCCCTTAACAGCACTGACCCTGTCCTGACTCCACCCCATGACAGCACTGATCCTGTCCTGACTCTACCCCATGACAGCACTGACCCTGTCCTGACTCCACCCCATGACAGCACTGACCTGTCCAGACTCCACCCCCATGTGACAGCACTGACCCTGTCCTGACTCCACCCCCATGTGACAGCACTGACCCTGTCCTGACTCCACCCCCATGTGACAGCACTGACCCTGTCCTGACTCCACCCCCATGTGACAGCACTGACCCTGTCCTGACTCCACCCCCATGACAGCACTGATCTGTCCTGACTCCACCCCATGACAGCACTGACCTGTCCTGACTCCACCCCATGACAGCACTGACCTGTCCTGACTCCACCCCCACGTGACAGCACTGACCCTGTCCTGACCCCACCCCATGACAGCACTGACCTGTCCTGACTCCACCCCCATGACAGCACTGACCCTGTCCTGACTCCACCCCCATGACAGCACTGACCCTGTCCTGACTCCACCCCCATGACAGCACTGACCCTGTCCTGACTCCACCCCCATGTGACAGCACTGACCCTGTCCTGACTCCACCCCCATGACAGCACTGACCCTGTCCTGACTCCACCCCCATGTGACAGCCCTGACCTGTCCTGACTCCACCCCCATGACAGCATTGACCTGTCCTGACTCCACCCCATGACAGCACTGACCCTGTCCTGACTCCACCCCCATGACAGCACTGATCTGTCCTGACTCCACCCCATGACAGCACTGACCCTGTCCTGACTCCACCCCCATGACAGCATTGACCTGTCCTGACTCCACCCCATGACAGCACTGACCCTGTCCTGACTCCACCCCCATGACAGCATTGATCCTGTCCTGACTCCACCCCATGACAGCACTGACCTGTCCTGACTCCACCCCCATGTGACAGCACTGACCTGTCCTGACTCCACCCCATGACAGCACTGACTTGTCCTGACTCCACCCCCATGTGACAGCACTGACCTGTCCTGACTCCACCCCCCCGTGACAGCACTGACCCTGTCCTGACTCCACCCCCATGTGACAGCACTGGGGCTGGCGCTGCTCATAGGCCATCAGCCTGGGTTGAAACCTGAGAGAGGCTCCCAAGCCCACAGAGCTCCTCAGACCACACAGCCTCTGCCAAGGCCTCCAGAAAGCCGAGGCTGGGGGCTGCACGACAGTGCCTCCCTGGCCTCCAACCCAGAACTGACCCTGCGTGGCACTCTGACCCACGCCACCTGCTCTCCAGCCTGCCAGGCACCGGCCCTAGCCCCTCCCACGCCTCCGCACTGAGTGGACACCCATGACCCTAGCCTTTAACCCGAGCGGTTAGAGGCTGGAGCCCAGGGCACGCATACCCTTCTTCCTGGCCAGGGCAATGATGTCCGCCGCACTCTTGCTCATGACCTTGGTGATGTACACAGGGCAGTTGATGCGGCCTGCGATGGTGATCGCCCGGAACACGGCCTCAGCCTCCAGCTGGGGACACAGGAGACGCCAGGTCACAGGGCACACACAGGGAGGGAAGCCCCACACTCTGAGGCTCCCCTGAACCGCAAACTTCCCTTAACTAAATGTGCTCCAAAGGGAAATCTACCATAAAGAAGGGAAGTACTGTAAATCTACACTTTAAAAGATAAGCCAGGCACCAGTGGTTACACCTGCCACCCTAGCTACTCAGGAAGCTGAGATCTGAGGATCGAGGTTCAAAGCCAGCCCAGGATGGAAGTCCATGAGACTCTTACTATCTGCAGTTAGCCACCAAAAAGCCAGAAGTGGAGCTGTGTTTTTGTAGAGCACCTTGAGCAAAAAAGCTAAGGGCTCAGGCCCTGAGTTCAAGCCCTAGGACCACACAAAAAGAAAAAGTAAATGAATCTGATTAAAGGGCTAGGAGACAGAAATATTCTGCTAGAACATTCCACTGGCCCCCGTGGACAGACTAGGCAGAATACAGGTGGAAGGCTTGTAGGACAGGTGGTCCAGATGTACAAACACCTGCCACACACACACAGCCTGGCGAGCCGCACTCACCACCTGAGCAGCCTGCTGCCTCCCCTCCGCCCTCCACCAGCCAGGACCCCTGAGGACAGGGGATTTTGTTGAGCAGACATTCTGGAGTGGTCCTACTGCCTGAGTCTGACACCAGGTGACAGGGCCCGCGTCCTGGGTCACACAGCATGCTCCCAGCTGACAGACTGACTCCCCACATGGCACAGCACCCCTATCTGGGGTCCAGTGACAGCCGGGCACCAGCCCAGGCCACGGGTCCATGAGGCTCAATGACTTGTTGGGAAGGAAAGACAGTCGTCAACTGGAGGGACAGTGGCTATGGCGTTCATCCTGTTCTACGTCCAGCCAGCCTTCCTTCCTTCCTCTGCCCAATACCCTCCCCCCAAAACACACACAGACGCTCCAGGGCTGCCATCCATGTTGAATCTGTAAGCACAGCGGCAGGGCTGGTGGGCCCCGGGAGGGGCGGGGCTCTCTCCCATCGCCCATGCCCAGACTCCTCGGTGCCAAGGCTTGCCTGGCTTGGACACTAGTGTGCACAGGCCTTCCTTGATGTGAGCTTCCTGAACCTTCCACACCCCTGACTCACGGCCACTAGGGCTGCTGGGAAAGGAGTGGTGGCAGGACTGGGGTGGGACACTGTTCCACGTGGTAGTGTGCACACTACACAATCCTGGGGTGCTGTGTGTATCGGGGTGCATACTACACAATCCTGGGACAATGTGTGCATCGGGGTGCACACTACACAATCCTGGGCAATGTGTGTATCGGGGTGCACACCACACAGTCCTGGGACAATGTGTGCATCGGGGTGCACACTACAGAATCCTGGGGCGATGTGTGCATCGGGGTGCACACCACACAGTCCTGGGGTGCTGTGTGTATTGGGATGCACACTACACAATCCTGGGGCGATGTGTGCATCGGGGTGCACACTACACAATCCTGGGGCAATGTGTGTATCGGGGTGCACACTACACAGTCCTGGGACAATGTGTGTATCGGGGTGTATACTACACAATCCTGGGACAATGTGTGCATCGGGGTGCACACCACACAGTCCTGGGGTGCTGTGTGTATTGGGGCAAACTACATATTCCTGGGTGCAGTGTGTAT